CCTTTCCCAAAAGACACTGGGGCAGTATGTAGGTCTGGTGGGTTACTCTTGATATTTGCCCTGCTCTAATTCACTCTGATCTGTCCCTCAATTAGCCTCTGGAAGAGATTAAACTCTCATGTTGCCTAAGGAGCTTAGGTGCTGTGTTCACTCCTTTCTGCCATCCTCCCTCTGCTTGAGCCTGGTGAGAATGGGACACAACCTGTCCTCTCCTCCCAGTAATGTAACCAGATGCTCAGCAGGTGAACATGACAGTTTTCAGCCTCTCTCCTTGCTTTTTCTCTTGCCTTCTTGAAAAACTTACTGCTTTTACCCATCGTGGTCCTGCCTGGGGTAAAACAGTGTCTAATTTTCTTTGTGTGCTTTGATGCCTTCCAAATGGGGCCATATTGCTTCAGCAGGGGATGAAAAAGCAGGGACTTTTGCCTGCAGTGTCATTACTTTGGTTTGGGATTTGCTTTTTTGTTCAAAGCTCACATTTTGCTCTGGGCTCACTACAAAAATAAAATAAGAGATCCACCCATGGTAGATGTGGGCAAAACTTAGTCCTTCTTGGCCAGAGAGGCATAGAAAGTTTCCACCCAACACGCAGACACGAAGCAGTTGCTGTTAAGAGCCATCCAAAAATATTACTCAACCGTGGCCACATCTGGGGGCTATTTTCATACATTCCCTGTCTCTCTCTTTTGGGTTTCTTTTGGTGATCCATCTTCACGACACGCGTGGTCAGGTGCGTGGGTGAGACTGGGGTGAGATGAGGCACACTGAGCTGTAAACAGCCACTCCAACGCCAAGGCACCGGCGCACGGATGAGAGGATGAAGCAGATCGAGACAATCTGGCAAACATGGGTGTTGGTGTGAAATCATGGAGACGTGTTTTGAGACCACGAGTGAAACCACACGACCTTGTCCCGGCGGCGCCTTGCCCAGATCCTCGAGTGACCCCCGGGCCAGCTGTTACCTGCTGTCTTTGGTAGGCGGAGAACGTCCTCTCCAGGTCTTCAAGGTCCAGGATTTTGAACACTCTTGAGTCATCTATTTCGGTCCACACGGTGCCTGCCAGCTTGTTCTGCAAGACAGAGGGAGCACTGCAGGTTGGAGGCCCCCTGCCCACCTGCCCCTAGACTTTCCAGCACCTCTGGTTTCTCCACCCAAATTATTGCCCAGCTTACCTCTGGCAGCTTGGACCAGTTGAAGGACTTGAGGGCATTTGTTGGTTGTGGGATGCTCTTCTTCTTGAGTGCCAAGCCCAGAGGTGCTCCAGGGGGAGGTAACACTCCATCCAGAGGTGGAGGGCCAGGAGGAGGTGGAGGACCACCCGGAGGGGGTGGTGGTGGGGGAGGCGGTGGGGGACATCCCCCTGGTGGTGGTGGTGGTGGTGGAGGGGGAAGAAGGGATCCTGGAGCTGGAGAAGGTAAAGGGCCACCAGCAGCTCCTGCTGGCAAGGGAGGTCCTCCAGGGCCAGCAGCACAGATCGCCCTCTGGGAGAGAAAGAGAAAGAGAGACTGGTCATATGGAGCTGGGGACATCAAACAAGAAATGCCTCCATGCTGATTTTTTTTTTTTTTTTACCAAATTTTAACCATAGGAAGCTCTCAAAAGCTTCAGCACTCCTGTCTGAGGTCCAGTGCAGCCAGAAAGGGAAACTCACTCTGTCACCAGGGATGGCCATCAGGGACAGACATCTTGGTGACCCTCCCAACAATCACCTTTCTCAGCCCACCTGCACAGCTCAGCCTCCAGAAATCCTCTTGCGGTGTTTGCAGGGGGGTTGGGACTGGGCCACAAGAGGGAGGAGATTTGGAGCCTCACCCTGCTCATCTCGTGGAGCTGCGCCGTGAGATCTGCCACCTGCTGCTTGACCTGCTTGTGCTCGCTGGACTCCTTCTCCAGCTTCTCCTTCATCTTGTTCAGTGTCTGCATCATTTCCTCCTTCTCCTGGGCCTTGGCGTCGCACTCCCGCTCCTTCTTCTCCAGCTTCTGCTGAAGTTCAGTGTGCTCTGAAACAAGCCCCGTGAGACCACTTTTGGGTGACAAACACTCCCTTTTGGCAAAGGGCAGCACGCGAGGGACCAGGCCCCACGCTGCCCTACAGAGAAGCTGTGCAGATCATCAATAAAAGGGAACGTGTGCTGTGCCTTAATGTGCCCAGCAAGGGCCTCCACACGAAGCAATTAGCATCTACTTTGCCCATTTCCCTTGTGAGCCCCATAAGGTGACATTAGCCACTCAGAGAGGGGTAAAGTCAACACTATATACTCATCACTCACCTTTTCGCATTTTTTCTGCTTGCTCTTTCCACTGTTTCACTTCATTTTCATTGACCAACCTAAATGGAAAAGGCAGGTGGCACGTGAGACAACCCTACCGCAGAGAACAAGTGACCAGCAACAAATATGATTGAGGAAGCCTGGGCAGTGGGATTTAAGGCTCCCAGACTGGTATTGCTAACACCTCTGCTCTGCCTCCCCTCGGCTGGCTTGTGCAGTCAGGGATGCAGCTCTGCCTCAGCAGCTCCAGGGATGCTGGCTTGTCATAGAATCATAAAACCATTAAGGTCTTTTCTAAAAAGGCCTTCAAGATCATCGAGTCCAACCCTCAGCTATACTCCCCTGTGACCACTAAATCATCTCCTGAAGCATCATGTCTACCCATTTTTTGAACACCTCCAGGGACAGTGACTCCACCACCCCCTGGGCAGCCTGTCCCAATGTCTCACCACTCTTCCAGTGAAGACATTTTTCCTAATTTGTCCACCCGTATCACCGGGTGACATTAAGGGATTAATTAGGAACCGTGACAGCAGCAGCCGTGGGAAATTGCTAGCTGAGGACACAGAGGCTGAGCTTTAATTCACCTACACCTCATGCTCAAGAGCTCCAAGCAATGCCAACCTTGCAGGGATAAGCCCCATTCCCAGCCCTCCTGCCCAACAGAGCGGGAGGCAACAAAGCCCCGGGAATGGAGGACTCAGCACTTACATTCGGACGACGTTTTTAATATTGAAGTTTTCCAGGGGAGTGGCATCAGGGTCCTGCCCTTTGTCACTCTGGATGACAATCTGCTGCACGATCCTGTCGAGCAGCAGCCAGTACTGGACAGTGTTGCCACTTCTTTTATCTGCAGGGGAAGGAGGGGAGGGAGTGAGGGGAGAGGCAGAGGGGAGACGTGGGCTGCCCAGCCGCAGGGTTTCCTCGTTCCTCTCCTCCCCTGGGACTCACAAGGCATTTGGAGACAGTGGTGCAGGATGGACATAAAGTGCGGGTACGCCTCGGTGTGTGTCAGCCTCTTCCTCGTCAGCTCAAACATCTGAGTTGCACTTTTGGTGTCAATGTGGACCTGTGGACGTGTGGGAAGCGAGGTCAGGCCACGGGGCTGGCGACGGAACCGTCTGCTTCCCCAGTCCTGGCTCCAAACCCACAAACCAGCCCCACCCCAGGCCTGATGGGCAGATGGGCCCCACTGCCCTGCAAGGGGCCAACAGTGCTTGTGGGCAGCCAAAGAAGATGATCAATCAGGCTGTAGGATGGAGGTTGCAACAGAGCAGGGCAACAGGAGACAGATTTCCAACCTCCACATTTTATCCAAAAGACAGCATCCCAGGCCATGTAGGAGCTTTAAAGAGGAATTGTGACATCAAGTGCCAGCATCTGGATTAGCAATGTTCATACTCACCAGCTCAAATCTTTTGGCAAATTCCAGTTCATCTTCATTTCTAAGCATTTCGAAAAAATCTAAGTGCCTGAGGAAGGAAAGGAGGAAAAAAGAGACTCTTAAAGGCAGATACTAATGTGACAATTCATAAATTGCAAACAGCCAGTCCAGCAGTGGCCAAGAGACAAGCGGGACTTCAAACATCTTCAGTCTTGAGCTCCCAGTTATTACAGCCTGTTCGAGGAGCCTTTTGGGATGACAGGAGGAAGAGGAAGGCTGGCATCATCCTCCAGGCCCTCAGTGGCACATCCTTCCTGGCTCAACCCTATGTTAGAGAGCAGTAAATCATACTGGGGTTCTCCTTTCCCTCTGTGGCAACAGCAAAGGATTTCCTCAAGAGGGGTGAGTCTAGACCCACATGCTTTCCCCAAAGGCCACGTCCAGAAATCAGAAAGCAAGGCCAGAAGGCAAAGGCAAAAATAACCAGTGGGCTGGGGGTCACTACTCACCGGTCAAGGGTTGAATTTTCATGCTCTCTTAGTTTATCAATGACTGGCTGGATCCCAAGCATGAGAAATTCATATCTTAGGTGGAGTCTGAAATCCAGGCTTTCCTGCAAGGGACAGTTGTGGGGTCAACACAGCAAGGGACGTGTTCTCAGAGAGCTTATTGAAATCCAACCACCCCAAACCCACCAAAACACTTCCCTCTCCAGGAGCCCCCATGCTCACCACGCCAGCCCCCTGGCTCAGGACTGCGTTGATGAAGGACATGATGGCTGTCTTGAGGCTCACTTCATCTCGGTACCTCCCCGTGCTCTTGTCCAAGTCATTGATCAGCGTCTGCCAAACACAGAACGTTCCTTCAGTGCCTCAGTGCTGCACAAACAGCCAGGGGACATTGGCAGCAACAACACACGATGCTCCTACAGCCCCTGCTGCAAGATCAGCTGCTGCCTGCTGTAGCACAGCCCAGCCCTGCACCCGTTTGGGCTAACATCAGCCCACCCAGATGTGCTACAGCCACGCAGAGCTGTGACCCCAGTGACCCTGCACAGGAAAGCTTTTTCATTTGGGGGTGGGAGGCTGCCTTAAATAACTGGTTCTTCACTCTTTGCTCAGCTGCAGATCTCACCAGATTTGGTTCTGTGGCCATTCCCAGAGCATCTAAGTTGCAAACGGGCATGAGAAATCATTTGCAAATGGCATTTAGCTCTCAAGGAGAAGGAAGAAACAAGAAGGCTGAATTTTGGGAGCCCAGCAGCAAGTCGGGAACCCACCTACCTGAAACCGAGTCCGTTCGCTGGCGTATTTCTGGTAGTGCAGCATGGCCTCCAGTACCTTTTTGTGGCCACCAGGAACCAGGCACACAGCGCCCATGATTTCCAGCACTGCCACCTTTGTCTTAATGTTCTCCGTGCTCAGACTCTGAGCGATCACGTTGATACTCTCTGAGTGGGCCAGGACGTGAGCCCGGCCCAGGGAGTTGTTCATCAGCGCTTTGATGCAGCCGATGAGCGAGGTATGTATCCGAGACTCTGCTGTCTCATAGTCCATGCTTTTGAGAAAGTTCAGAATACATGACAAGCCATCCAGGTCGATAAACCGGGTTACAAACCTGTCAAAAAGAAGGTTTTTAGCTTTAAAACAGAATCACAGAATCCTTGAGGCTAGAAAAGACCTCTGAGATCACCAAGTCCAGCCTATAACCAGATGCTTAAGGACCCTTTTACCCTCAGACAGGGCTCACCTGTCCATTGTTGTAAACTAATGACCTTATTATGTATCTTTTTTCCTGGACTTGGGATAGCACAAAGCCTGCAGGACTCCTATAGCCCAGAGACAGGGATGGGGTTGCAAAAATCAATTTAACTGGTGCCCTGTAGTGTAGGTAACCAGGCATCATCTGCACAAAGTTGTCCAGAGCTAGGATATTTGGAAGAGGACCAGCTAACCCAGCCATGAGCACAAGCCCCAGGGTGGAGGTTAGCAGTTTGCTGCTACAAAATCCTTCTCAGTCCCCAACCTGGGTCTTAAACCCCACTCCTCTGGGACCAGTTTTGCACAGGACTGGAAGAAGATCCCAAGCCCTGGAGATGTCTCCTCACTAGCCACCTACACCCCAGCCTCAGACAACTCTGACTTTCTGCCTCCTGCTCCCTCTCCTGCCCCACCATCCACATGCTTCTCCTCCCTTAGGCACATCTCACCAACTTTTAAGGCATTTCTGATTTTCATGGTGACTTACACCACCACTAAACAGAAAGCAGGCAGCAAAAGCCTGGCAGAGCCCCAGGCAGGTTCACTAGAGCAGGCAGACACAACACTGCACTCTGCTCAGGCATTTTAGGAGCTCCCTGCCCTTTGCCATCCAGGCTGGGCTTATTCTGGTTTGGCAAAAGGCACAGGCTTGGAAAGGAATCAAGCCAAGAACATCCCAGCATTGGGATGACTTTAATTTGAAACAAGCCCTGCAAACAAAAGGGGTAATTGCAGGCTTGGGGAAAACTGATTTCTCTGCTTCAAAGCCTGTTCTTCTTCCAGCCAAAGTCAATAGGAAATTTGATGTTCCCTTCCCTGGGAGCAAAAGCAGGTCCAACAGGTAAAATTGTCTATAGACTCTGCTGCATCCTTCTGAGTTCCAGTGAGACAGGCTCACACAACAATTTTAAGGACTTTGCACAGTTTCATGGCTAGATACCAGCCCTGCTCCCAGTGCACTGTGGGGAACCAGCACCCAAGAGGCCCAGGTTTGACAAAAATTGGGTGCACACCCTCAACCTGGGGAATTTCTTACCAACTACCATCACCAAAACCATTAGCAAAAGAGAAATGGATGAGGGGAATGTATTTGCAAGCAAGAGAAATATGTTCTTCCATAGCCAGAACAGGTCATGCATTTCTTAATGAAACATTTTCCCATCAGAAAACGTTGATCTGAGGCATCCTAAAGGTCTTGCAGATGTGTGCATGCAGATTCCAGAGAAACTGAAGTTAGGAAAAACTACAGATATTCAGAAAAAGTCTTTATCCTTTCTTTCTTTATCCTCCCCATCAAAACCTCCTAGCAACATGTTTTAATTATTTTTTTTTAAATTTCATAAAAGCCTGAAGATTCATGTGATTTCATGCCTTTAAAAAGAGAAAGAGAAGTTGAAACAAAAGGCCTGGTTGATCAACAAAAATTGGGTCTTTAAAAAAAATGTCAATCTGGAAGGAATTGTTACATTCTATTCCAATGAGAACAAAAGCAAATTTGAGGGGGGGAAAAGAAAAAAAAACAAAAGGAATTGCCTGATTTGTCTGAACAGATGTGAAGGTCCTGGGGGCTCCAAGGAAAAGGAACAAAATGCCAAGAGGTGAGTTGAAAAAAAAATAAAAGCATTGCATTTCAGGGTCTTTGCTTCCCTTGCCCTGTGCAGCCCCCATTTGTATTTCTATTTAACCCCCTGCTCCACCAGAGAACTCAAATCCAAAGCCATGACCACAGTGATAAAGCCAGGAAACAGAGGGAATTGCCTCATGGGTTTTGTCCTCAGTGCAGTCTTCAAACTTTCAATAGTTTTATTTCTCTCCTCCTCGTCTTCTTTCTCCAAGGCGATCAGTGATTTCCTCTGCGAGGGAGAAAGGCAGATGTGAGACAGGAGGTTTCCCTGGGAAACACGTGTCTGAGCAGTGGGAGTGCTCCCTGCCTGCTGTGCCAAGCCATGGGGACAGAGCTGGGACCCTAAACTGAAAGTCCAGATCCTTATGACAATCAAAGGACTAGGGAATAGGGTCAGTGAGGAAAAACCCTCCACAGTCTGCAAGGAGATGGCGTGGACTGAGGAACCCAGTGCCTTCTTCTTCAAACCAGTCCTCACCCCCCAGCAAGCCCTGGCAAGACACTCCTCCCCCTTTAGATACTTACAGGCATTAATAAGGTGTCCCCTCAGCCTTCTCTTCTCCAGGCTAAAGAGCCTCAGCTCTCTCAGCCTTTCCCCATAAGAGAGATGCTCCAATCCCTCAAATCACAAGCCACTGCCAACTCCAACTTGTTGAAAGGTCCCCAGACCAAAAGGGCTGGTAACAGCCAGGTCACCCCTTTGTGGATACAACACTTGTCACCATCTTGGGCACAAGGGTGGCCAGGTGACAGACTGTCCCCACGGCCCAGCTGCCCCACACAGGGTTCACAAGCACCAAAGCCTTAGGAAACACTCACAGCAGCCATTGAATTCAGCTGATCGATGTAAAACTCCGGCCAGCTGGTGGCTCCTTTATTTTCTTCCTGGTCCTGGAGAAGGAGAAAAAGGTGAAACAAAGGCAGCAGATGAGTACAAACAGCTTTAATATCCCTTGCCCTTCATGACCAACCAACTCTGAAGTGCCCTTGAGCTCTTGCAGTACTTTCTATCAATATAAGCCTGACTTGCCACATTCTGAGCTCAGCACCGAGTGCTCCAGCTATGGGAACATTACCTGATTTATTGAACTAGCACATTTTTATCTACAAACCACGTCCTACCCCCTGCCTGTAACCAAACTGCTCCAATGATCCTGCATCAATCTGGTGGTTATCAGGGTCGGAGAAACCACCCTGGAATTTTACATCCAGATTTCTCTTATACCGACTCTAGTGCCCTTCAAGTTTTGGTTGCACAGCCTTGATTAATGTACTTTGGGGGAAAAAAATGTGTCTTACTGGTAATGAAGAGTGAATAAATGTGACATGACACATTTTTGGAGTCATGACTCCAGGTACAACAGACGACTTCTCTGGGATTTCATTAGCTGTTAGGAGAGAACACGCACCTGGCAACATCCCCCCATTAAAGGATGTCATCTCTTGGCCCTTGATCTATGACACAGCCTCACTTGGTCATCCTGGTCTACAAAGCCCTGTGTCTGGTGTTGTACAAGGGGTTTTGAGGTTCTACCATGTCCTTGTAAGACATGACCAAAGGACTTCAGAGCCCAGCTCAGATAAATTATGCTGCATGTCCCCAGGGACTGCTTGGAGCAAGCAGGCAGATTTTGAAGGAATACTTCAAGACCATTTCCCCCAGTATATTCTCATAAAAGCTTGTACCAAAAAGAAGAAAAAGGATTCACAGAAGAAATGCCACACAGGTGTATGCCGGAGAGTCAAGTTATGCTACACAAATCCCAGACATTTTGGAATCACAGAATGGTTTGGGTTGGAAGTGACCTTAAAGATCTTCTAGTTCCAGCCCCACTTCTTGGGCAGGGACACATCCCACTTGATCAGCTTGCTCCAAGCCTCATCAACTTGGCCTAGAACACTTCCAGGGATGAGGCACCTATGGCTTCTCTGGCCAGCCTGGGCCAGTGTCTCACCACCCTCACACTACAGAATTCCTTTCTAATATCTGATGTAAATCTCCCCTCTTCCAGTTTGAAAATGTTCCCCCTCATCCTCTCACTCTCTGCCCTTGTAAAAACCCCCTCCCCAGCTTTTCTGTAGCCCCTTCAGGTACTGGAAGGTGCTCTAAGGTCTCCCTATCTCAGTGAGAGTCTTCACAGCACAACTTGCTGCACAGCTCTGCCCCCTCCCTAACTTCAAGAGATGTTTGCAAAGGTCACCCTAAACCACAGTCGCCTGTGACGGTGGGAGTTGGACAAGCCACTCTCCTGCCCCCACGTCTGTGCACGCAGACAGCTACAGATCCCCTGGCTGATTTCAGCAAGCCCAAGGAGCAGAGTCCCAAATATTTACTGTGGTTCAAGAGGCATATGTGGGAAATATTCATGCATCCAGACTTCCCAAGCTGCAGCTTGCCAAGATGAGGACACAAGGAGTCAGCGATAGGTGATCTGGATGGGACCCAGTTCCCCCACGGGCAGCACAGCCCATCCCAGCAGACCTGATGCTTTGTTGTGCCTGGGCTTCCTGGGGACAAAAATTTTGGAAGCAACAAGGGACCTGGTAAACCCTCAGACACCTCCTGTGACATGCTGAGGACCAAGAGAACCTGCACATCCACCCTTCTGGCCACTTTCAGCCCTCTCCAAGCCACGAGCAGCTCTCAGTGCCAGCTGCCCATGCCCCTGGGCAGGCTGCCTGCTGACAGATGCAGATCCACAAGCCTCACCTTTTTTTATCTCTATAGATCTGGTCAAGTTTAAAGCAAAGAAAATAACTTTCCTGAGGAAGAAGACAAGAGAGCATTCAGCCCTCCCTGCATTCTGCTTTAATACTTTAGGTTGTTTTCCCTTCCTTCTCCTGCCAAGAACCAAGGTTTTGAATGAAACACTTGATTCACCCACCCTCCACATTTCATTTTGGTTTTCATTTTGTTTTTCACCTAAGCAGGAATCAGCAGGGAGCAAGAATTTTTCTGAGATGTCAGAAAACAACAAAAAAATCTGCCCTACTCATGCTAGTGCCCAACCTAATCAATCTGAAGGAGGTTGTGGCACCTGCCTCTGCATGGATGGAGGACCATTCATAGTCAATTAAGTTTTTGTCAGCAATAAGTGAAACTGTCCTAACAGTGCTTAAAAAAAGAGAAATGCTGATCTGCTGGCTGACCATGCAACACCCAGCCTGATGAGGAAAGACAGGGATGCATTTTGGTCTTCCTGCAGCCAGGAAAAACGGGATGCAGGGAGGTTTCTGCCATGATGGAAGAAACCCAATGCCTTCCCAAAGGGCTGGGAAGAGGACACCCGTTTGCAGCTGTCTGGTCAGTCAGAGCTTCCCACCACTGGACTGTGCAGAGAAACACCTGCCATGCCTAAGGAATCCTGGCAGCTGGCATGTCCACTCACACACAGCCAGCCTGCAGACATCCAGGGCTTCAGAAAGATGCTCAGGAGCACAGAAGAAGTGTCAGGGGGCTTGAGAAACTGGGATGTAATTTATATCTGAGTCAAATGGAAAGGCACAAATTATACCACCACCTCTTGCAGAGCTGAAGGAAGGTCTCCTGCTTCTCCTGAGCAGGGTGGGAAAAGTAAATGCTCATGATCTGCCAAGTATTTGTCACTTCAGGGAAACGCACATTATTTCTGCAACCAGTAGGTAGAGCTGTCAGTTTAACCCAGGTGGGAGCACCAGCCCATAGGAACGAGGTGGGAGCAGGATATGGGGGAAATGCCCATGGGCAACCACCCCATGGCTTCTCCATGCTGCCAAGTAGCCAGGGTGAGGCTCAGGCCACCTTCTCGCTTGGTGACAATCCTGTCTGACACAGGCAGCCAGGTCTTTCTGGTTTCTCAGCTCACACTGCATGCCTTCCTAAAGGACACTCCCATCTGCTCCCATGCGTGATGGCACCCCAGCCCATGTCCTGGGACACAAATGGCACCTCGGGGAACAGTGGAACCTGGGCAACCATGTGTGCCTTGAACATGGCCCAGAAAGGGACCTGCTCCTGTCATTCATCTCCTGGAGACATCACTGGAGGTCCTCCTCAACACCACAGGGTACCATCAGCACCTCCTACAAGTATCATCCCCCTCCCAGCAGTGACACCAGCTGGGAAGGGTGGTGAGGTTCCCACCACTGCACCCCACCAAGAGGTGTCCAGATGCGCCCAGCTGGGAGATTTGGGCAGGGAACGAGACCCATGCCAGGGGAAGAGGTGGGAAGGCAGCAAGGTCAGCTCATCCCACACCCCCAAACACCTGCGAGGCGGGCAGGGATCCGGCCCTGCTGCTGCTCTAGGGCTGAAAGGAAGCGGTGAAGCAAAAACACCCAGGTCTCCGGGGCAGCAGAGGGGAGGCTGAACAACCAAATTGGCTAAACTGCTCATTTATAATTAACATGCGGCATGATAAATATTTCCCTTTGCTCGGCTCCCTCGGGCTCTTGCATTTCCTCCCTGAAACCCCCAATTTAGAGAGTGCTCTCAATTAAGTGCAGCAGAACCTCATTAATTCAGATGAGCAGCCGGGCAGGCGGGTCGGAAAAGCCGCTTCCCGGGCAAAGTGGGACTGCACAATAAAGCAGGCAAAGATCAGGGCAGGGGCTTCCCTGCTCGCAGCAGGACATTGCTCAGTGGGTAATTACTGCAGCTAATGGTCTACAGCACACTGGTAAGGGTCCTTTAGTGCATTCGGTGGTGGTAAAGAAGTCTCCCGACAAAGCGACAATCCCGGAGGGAAGTGACTCACAAGGCTTTGCTCAGAGGCAGAGGAGGAGGCAGGAACCTCCCCGGGTAACACAGGTTGAAAGGGTGAGTTTGTAAAATGGTTTCCCAGCAGCCAGGGTGGATTTTGGGGCTGTGCATCTTGCAGCCTGCCTTCGAGGAGGGACGCCCAGACGTGGAGCTGAGCACCACCAACGTGAGCCCTTCAGGATGCTCCATCACATCCCGCCCGACTGGCACCAGGGGCACAAACATCACCCAATTCCGACTTCTCCAGGCTGTGCTTAGGTCTTTGCTATGTTTGCTCTCTTCTCAAGCAGCAGAGAAGCGAGGGCTGATCTGAACCCTGCTGACAGCCTCGTGCTGTGCTGTGGCTCATTATGAGCTGCTCGTTCAGAGGCAGCTGATGGCTGGAGCTGCACAGTGCAGGGATGGGTACCTGGTGTCCCTTCTCCTCTCTAACATCTGCAGCAACATCCCTCACCGTGCTCTGGAAAACGGCCCCAATGGACACACGTGCTCAGCTGCAAAGATCAGGAAATGCCAAAGCCATGAGGGGCAATATTTGCTCTGTCCCTTGCTTCATTCCCCACCTGCTTTTCCCCCCTAACACCCACCTCTTCCTTCCAGGGACCTGGCAGACACACCAACCCCAGCAGCTGCAGCCCCAGCACTGCTGTGCCCTCGCCTTGCCCCACTGCCTCTTTTCCCCTGGGCTCCACGCACGGGGCTGTTGGATCCTGCTGCTCAGATGCTGCCACTCCAGTGGTCGGGGAGGTGTCACAGTGTGAACCCTGTGAACCAGCTCCATCCCCCCCATCAGCACCAAGAGCCCCAGGGAAAGCAGCACCCGGGCAAGACGCCTCATCAGTGGGAGCTCTCCCAGGCCAAGGTCATGGATCTGCCAGCTCCAGCCAGCCCTCTGCTCTTCCTGGGGAGATTTCACACTCCCCAGCCCTGCCACATCTTGGTGACAAGCCTAACATTTCCACAGTCTGCCTGCCTGCCCCGGGAGTGTCTGCAGCTCCCACAGCCAAGCTGCCCTCGCTCCATCCTTGGGACACTGGGCAGCAGCACAGAGGAGGGGGTGGCTGAGCCAGTGGTGTCCCCATGGTGGTGGAAAGACACCTGTGAAGCTCCTCAGTGCTTCCTTACGGCTGCTTTGCTTTCAAACCAAGAT